AATTGTAATTAGGCATTTTGAACTGTTTCCTGATTCTTTTTAATGTTTTTGCAAATCATGAAACAGTCAAAACTGTTTACCCGGTCACAGAATGAACTGTTGCATGGCTGAACTGTTCCATTATGACGTCATAGTTAATTTCCCGTACTTTACAGCTATAATATTGAATTATATATAAATTGAATCATTTTTATTCAATTTGAAATTATCATCTGAAAAGTAAACCTGATACCAATTTAAATATATATTCAATTTAATATCATTTCAAAGAAGAGGCCATGAACACCTTTTCTGAGGGTAGTTTGGGAAAAATGTAGGCCCCTTTCATTCAGTATAGATCTTTGCCATAAACGTGCAATATTCAAATTTTTAAGACATCATTATGTTGTTTACTACATGTTTTTTTTTTTTTTTCATTTATTAGTGCATGATAATATCACACCCATTAATTTTCTGATTTTACACCAATCGGTGTGAATATTTGATTAATATTCAACTTGTTTAGTTTGGTTTTAAAAAATTATAAAAACTTTTGTCAATGTATTTTAAAAGCCATTGATTATTATGTCGATATCATTACTTTAAGAAATTATATAGTAGGTTAGGTAATAAAACACTTATTTCATGACAACTCGGGAAACAGTCAAACTGTTGTCCCTCGATAATGGGGAAGACCTGGGAAACTGTTGCCCTCGGCCTTCGGCCTCGGGCAACAGTTTCCCAGGTCTTCCCCATTACCTCGGGACAACAGTTTGACTGTTCCCCTCGTAGTCATGAAATAAGTGTATACTGTTTCATGATTTGCAAAAACATTAAAAAGAATCAGGAAACAGTTCAAAATGCCTAATTACAATTTATATAGTAGGTTAGGTAATAATCAGAATTATTTATCAGAGAAAAATAGGATTCCCGCTCAACGAAGATCCGACGTTGAATCAATGTTGGCAATTCAACTCAATTTGAATTCAATGTTGAATCAACGTTACATTTTCAACGTTGAAAAGTCAACGTTGAATCAATATTGAATCTAGATTTATCAACGTCTAAACCCATTTTCAACTAATATTCAACGTTTAAACAACGTTGTGTGCCTGCTGGGCTTGGATTTGGTACTTAGCATCAAATATTTATGCTAGCTCTCCCTACTTAGTGGCTAGGCTTTCTCTCCGTTCAAGAGCGTAGCTTTACGTAGATGCTACGTAGCAGCTACACTGTTGAACGCACCCCTGATTTGAAGATTGTATCAAAATTGTCCGGCATTCGTTTTTTGGGACTAGAGACCATGGTTTCTGCACACGCGCACATTAAGGAGGAAGAGGTGAAGCAATATTTTTGTCTTGGGGCAGACAAGAATTAGTTTTTCTTGATAAAAGTAGATTTTTAAGGTTCTGAAACCTTTGAATTTTAAAACCTATAGTAATATTTTCAAGAATTGAACAAAATTTGCCCGTGTCATGGAAAAATTCTGTTCTTGTCAATTTTCCGTCACGGCGTCGATTTAAAAGGAACTTTCTTGAAAGACATTATTCAAAATGCATTACAGTGGTGTTTTATGAAATTCTAAATGAAAATATTTTAAAAAAATTTCTGTTCTGAGAAACCGATGGGTCATGATTCAAAACATGTCTTGTAAATAGCCAGCTAACAACTTAACTATATGACAAACGGGACTACTTCAGCATTTTCATCGATATCCTCAACTCGCTTATTTATGTATATTTATCCACTATCACCTGCATACGGTGTTTATGACTCCAAACTGATTCGCTGAGCAAAGGCATTATCTGTGTACGATCAATTCTTAAACCGAGGCAGGTTACTGACAAACAAGTTGATGTTATATATAACTATCAACAATCTCGTTTAAAGTCAGCATTTCGCAAATTCTATGCTCGTTATAATGACTTCGTTTGCAGATACAAGCTACATGTATCGTTGAGTTGCATACAATTATTAGGCTATTGTTTTAATATACTAATTTTGACTAACAGTTACTCCGTTCACCTGATCAATACAGAGGGCTCACGTGTGTGACCGGTCGAAAGGGGACACTTAATACCTGATCAATACAGAGGGCTTACGTGTGTGACCGGTCCATAGGGGACACTAAATACCTGATCAATACTGAGGACTCCCGTGTGTGACCGGTCGATAGGGGACACTTAATACCTGATCAATACTGAAGGCTCACGTGTGTGACCGGTCGATAGGGGACACTTAATACCTGATCAATACAGAGGGCTCACGTGTGTGACCGGTCGATAGGGGACACTTAATACCTGATCAATGCAGAGGACTCACGCGTGTGACCGGTCGATAGGGGACACTAAATACCTGATCAATACAGAGGGCTCACGTGTGTGACCGGTCGATAGGGGACACTTAATACCTGATCAATACAGAGGGCTCACGTGTGTGACCGGTCGATAGGGGACACTTAATACCTGATCAATACAGAGGGCTCACGTGTGTGACCGGTCGATAGGGGACACTTAATACCTGATCGATATAGAGGGCTCACTCGTGTGACCAGTCGATAGGGGACGCTTAATACTTTTTGTGACCTTGTTTTTTTTTTTACCTATTCACAAGCTTGATTTTTTAAGGAATAATTATTTATGTTTACCATTTCCACATTTTTGATATGCAAGCATTCAAGTAAAGTGCAATTTCATTTTTTGATTGATTTATGAGGCTGGAGTAGAAGTGGTCAGATAGTGGTCGGTAGCCTTGATAGTCATTAAACTTTATAGATTTTCTAAGATAGGCTGAGCCCTTTCTTAAATTTCAGGTTTAAAAAAAAGACAAAGGTCACTTGATATGCCCACTGTTTCTAGCAACCCTTAGTGTTTTTTCAGATCAAAGAATTTTTTTGTATCGCATGCATTTTGTTATGCACAGCAAAAATGTTCTATTTTATGTGCATATGTATCGTTGACTGACAAGGCATTTTTACCAAACACCCGAAAGAATGATTTTCTGGTGGATAATGGTCAATTTTTAGAATTTCTTATATTTTTTGGTACACTCTTATTCTTATCCTCACTGAAAATAATTCAAATCTTGGTAAATACCTTACCTTATTTCTGAAATTTCGGAATTTCTTTAGTAATGAAGTATACATGGAAATTAAGTATTGAGATGCATGACTGTATTAATCTTCACAATACTATACCGTATATTATCATTTCGGCAATCCAAAATAAATCTTGGTAGCTTTCAAGAAAGTTATGCATTTAGCCGTTTCTAGCAGTTATAGAAGTATAAAATTTTAAAGCAATTCCAGTAAATATTTCATTCAAACTATTGTTCACAGCGAGCTCTTTTAATATATAATTCAACCTACGTATTAGCTAAAGAACTACCGGTATTGATGCAGAAGAGCAACTGTTAACTATAGCTACTACTGGAATGCGTTTATGCAATAAAGTAAGGATACTGAATGTGACTGCTGAATAAGTTAACTACTAACTAGCAGCTAGAGAATGGCCTTTATATAAAACTAGGGTAAAAAAAATATAACTAAATAATAGTCACTGTTCATTTTGACTGGCAGTTCTATAGCGAACATAGAGTTAAGCAGCCTAAGGAAATGCTTATACCTTTCGGTTTCTTATAATATTTCATTTATCAAGTTTAAGTGAAATTAAGTAGATGTGTCACTTGTCTATTACCGGGTACCTTTGTACATTTCAAAACAATCGATTTTTGCATATAATTTATATACAGATACGATACATATATATGTATATGCATTTTTTACTTCCGTTTATAACATGTACTTATATAGCTTTTGAAACATTATAAGTATTGTTTGTATTTGTCTACATCAAGGTGACAGTTACTTGGCGGCGTGTGAATTCATCAGACGTTGTTATACCAGTTAAATTGGACAAATGCTTTGGATTTCAAACAAAGGTTTATCTCGCACTGCTGACAGTAACATACAGGTATATCTGAAGTAATTTTTTTAATTGGATTTTATCTCGGTTTAACTACAGCGTTAAGTATTCTTTTAGTTTTACGATTAATTTTCTTAATTATTGAGCCTCACTAAGTTTAGATACCCTTTTCCCTACAATACTCTCCCTCTCTCTCTCTCTCTTGTAAAATACCCATGCAATAGTCTTAAACCATTTGTGCTCCTTTATTAGCCGACCTGTTTTTATATTCCTATGAATTTATTTAAAAACCTTCTATATGAGAAGACGAAAACACTTGCTGTGGCCCCTACAACTCAACATTCAGATACATCAATTAACAATACAATTGTAGTTACTTCCATTCATATGTGAACTCGATATATCCCAGTGAACTTGAAATAAAAGACACCAAAGAGTCTGTCACATCTGTTTCATATTTTGATATTTTACTGACTATAGACGATAAGGACCAACTAACAACTAAGATTGTATGACCAACGAGATTACTTCGCTTTTCCATCGTCAACTTTCCCTATTGATGTAGTAATGTTCTGCTATCACCTGCATATGGTGTTTTTGTCTCTAACCTTAGTCGATATTCAAGATCAGTTTTCAAAAGGGAAGCAGGCTAATTACAAATAAGTTTATGTGTCAGGGATTTCAACAAACTAATCAATTTAAAGTCAGCATTTCATAAATCCTACGGTCGTTGTAATGACCTTGTTAACAAATATAACCTATCATGGGGTCGTATTACGTGTTTCGAACCAATCATTAGGTTTTTTAATACTAAATTTGACTACGGAATGTTCCGTATACCTGATTCCGTCTATATAGGGCTTACGGCGGTGTGACTGGTCAACAGGGGTACTTACTCCTCCCAGGCACCTGAACCCACCTCTCGAATTTCCATGGGTCCGTGTTTTATGCCCTTTTCACAGGTTTGTTTGTTTGTAGATTTTCTGAGATCGATCACTGATCGTTATCTTAACTTTTTTCATTGTAGAGGAAATAACGTTACAAAAACGAAAAATATATCATGGAAGAATTCGAATGGATCAAAGATTATAAACGGAAATGATACTACCAAGACAGTTTACGGATCTTTTCAAGGTTTGGTATGTTTTATGACAATTACAATGAAATTCTACAAACGCGTACAAAGCAAGTGCTCAAATGCATACAGTTTCTAATTTTTTTTAATTGACAGACAACTGATTTTTTTTGTTTTTATCTTAATTTCTGAGGAAAATTGTTACATGTTACTACCATAAACAAATTGTTGTTTGAAAAAAATGCATCAGTATTAGTAGTATCATACTTTTAGGACGGGATAAATGTAGAACTTCGGATGACATTGAGCTATTATACTAGAGACCCTTCTGGCAACAATATTCCACACAATCTGGCACTACAACCACAACCCATCAACGTCGGTAATTTTGATAGTTCGACATTGAACCACAGCGTATTCAAAAAAGATTTCAAAGATAAAAGTAGCAGGTATGTCAAGTTTTATAAAATCTATAAATCTATTTTTTCTTTTACCTGTTTTGATTAATGAGGTGCCCGATTCAATTATAATTTAATATTTTCCACACACTATGAGTACATTTACGATAATTTACTTTGCAAATGAGTCAAAATTTTAATATTCATTCAGATAACTGTAAGGTTAACTCAGCTCATAGAATATTCAATTACCTTTCCTATAAAAAATAAAAATATTTGAATTAATGTGTGCAGGCCTTTTTTCGATAACGAAAATACTGCATTCGATTTCAAATTTTCATTTCTTCGCTGAAACAATACCAGAAAAATTAATTTAATCAAAGTCACAAATTGTCATGAATTTTTTTTTCTATCAAGTACATTACATTAGAACTCTGAGGAAAATTGAGATTCTGTAAAATAAAAATGATAATAAATACAAATGTGTATATTGCAGTCACTACTGTATTTATCCACTTTAATAAATACTGACGTACAAAATATATGGATATATGATCAGACTCTTTAATGTCAGCCATAGTAAAAAGATATTTTGGAGAAGTGCTTGTACCTCTTGTGCATTCAAGATGTCCTTTAGACCCACCTTACATTGAAAGAAAACCCCGTTAAGCTCTTCACGTTCTTCGCGATCTATAAGATAGTGGTGTAATCGTTTGTTTGTTTGTTTGTTGTTTAACGTCCATCTCGAGAATTTTTCACTCATATGGAGACGCCACCACTTGCCTTTGGAGAGCTGCAAATTTTGTCCTATGCTCGGCACTTACGGCCATTGAGCAGTGAGGGATCTTTATAGTGCCAGCACCTACTGCGACGCGGGACCTCGGTTTATACGGTGTCATCCGAAGGACCACGTCCCACAATGGGATTCGAACCCGCGACGAAAGGATGAACTCCTTACTTCGTGACTCTAGAGCAGACGCTCTAACCACTGCGCCACGCGGGCGACTGGTGTAATCGTAGAAAAATAGGAAAATTACTTCTTGTTTGAAGACAATCAGAACTTATACGAAAATGGGTGGGTGGGTCCCTCTATGTTCTTAGCGACCGATGCGCTCCTCTATGTTCTTAGCGACCGAATGCGCGAGGTCATATGACAGCGTCATTATGCAGTTACGTTCGAGAAGATTGTACCACGCTAGCGTTAAGCTACTGCCACAGGCACGTAGTATCGGGAGGGTTAAACCCTCCCCTTTCCAAACATAGCTTTTTACAGTTGAAAATGTTCATTGAAAGACTGTTTGCCCCTCCCCCACTTTTTTGTTGCAAATCGGGGTTGTGGAGTAATGTACTAATAAAATATGACCGTGAACAAAGTTTGAAAAAACCCCTTCCCGGAAATAGGATTTTTGAGTTTGGACACTTTGCCCTTTTTTCAGGTAAGTTGTCAAATTTCATAAACGATACTACGTGCCTGTACCACGAGTATCTCAGAGGGTTCAGATTTTATATTTGACAAATATAAAGGAAATTCACATTTCATTTGTGTGAAACTTAACATATTGATTTATTTATGTATTTTTTTCAATTCATTTATGTATTTTTGCACTGTGACACATTCTTTAAAGGTTTAATTTGATTCAAACTTGTATATCTCTCACCCAGTGGTGTAAATACCTATCGTTGCAAGCCACTTAAATTCGATCGCTTTCTATTTCCACCCATACTTTTTTTCCCTAGTAAGTACAATACAGTATTTGCTATATGAAAGCATTCACAATAATGGAATTTTTATTCAGAAAATGAAAATAAAATTTTCGATGAAGGATACATATGCTTTAAGGCTTGCTAAACGAAAATCACAAATCAAAAAAGCAAAAATGAACCAATGTAAATGAGGAATTGAAAGAAGTTAATATTAGTTCAAAATAAACTATTTGAAGAGTTAACATTTGAAGAATTATTTTTTCATAAATGTATACGTGCGGTACAGCTGTAATCAATGGGAAACAAATGAATTTTAAGTTTGAACTTTAAGATATTTTAGTGATAAAATAAAAATATTTTTTTACAAAAAGAAAAGCTTTCAAAGAAAAAGGAGATAGTTCTTACAAAACTAAAATACAAATACTTCATTTCTTTTTGAAATAGATATCTCTTAAGCTTTTATAAAAATATCGCTTTCTCTTTCAAAGATATTTTTACACGAAATTTTTATACATGTCTTCTTTCAGAAAAACATTGCATGTATTTCTGTAAATTTTGAAGATCTATTGTTTCTGGCTACTTGTAAAAATTAGTTTCTTGCAAAATCTATTAATATTTTATCAATTTTTTCTTGACAATTACTTCCTTTATTTAGTTTTCCAGCATGTAGAATAGAAATACGATTTTTTCACAACTGTACACCCAATCCAAATTACGAGTACTGTGATAAAAAAGGAAACTTGCAGTGCAAACCCTGTAAAGGATTGGGATGTATTTCAAACTGCTCAGAAATTGATCCTAGAAAAGGAGAGTGTAAATGTGGACATGTTATCTGCCATGAAAATTATTTCGGAGCCCGGTGCAAAACATATTGCAAAAATACTACGACAGGATATTGTGACCAGTATGGTTCATTAGTATGCAAAGATCAGTACTACGGGGATAATTGTACAACCCACTGCGTTAATGTTACCAATGGATTGTGTGATGCACAAGGCAATCTACAGTGTAAGAAAGACTATTATGGAGAAAATTGTACCGCTTTCTGTCGAAGTCAACATGGAAATTGCTCCGATGACGGAGATTTAAAATGTGATTCAAATTACTATGGGAAGGAGTGTGAGCATTATTGTGCGAATACAACGGAATATTACTGTGATGTTAATGGTGTGAAGGTGTGCAATCCTTCGTATCACGAAGACAACTGCTCCAGACGATGCTTGGAAACTAACACTTCGATTTGCACCAGTGACGGTTATGTCAAATGCAAATCTGGATTTTACGGGGAAAATTGCACTGTGCAATGTCAGAACACAACATATGGAACCTGCAATAGTTCGGGAATTCTGGAATGTGCAAGAAATTATTACGGAGTTAAGTGTGATAAGTTTTGTGATCCTAGACAAAATATTGGATACTGTAACAGAACAAAGGTATATATATACAAGTACACTAATATAAAAGAATTGGATCTCCTAAACCTTTTTGAAATTGCTGATAAGACTTGATCCCTTTGTGTTCTAGTCATTGCTTTATTAGTAAATACTATATATATATATATATATATATATATATATATATATATATATATATATATATATATATATATATATATAATCACAGGCACTTGACAGGGATGTCAAAATATTTATTTTCTTTAGTCGAATAGTCGATTGCATTATTCGAACGATAGTCGAATATATTCGAAACTAAAATTTTATTTCAAACTCCACTGGTACTTCACATATTTAACCCCAATTCCCCCTTTTTTTTAAATTTATCAATAAGTTACATCAAATGTTACACACAGATGTTCACATGGGCCTAAAATGTGGATAGCGTGTTTTTATTTACTTAATATAGACCGCTAATTTCTCCAAAATGCATGATTTCTCCGTCAATCATGTTCATAAATCGGTCTGTAAAGTCAGTTTTTTAGGAAGCATAAAAAATGACTGTGCGATATATCTTTTTAAAGCTTATTAAAATGAGGGGGGGGGGGCACACACGGTGTCTGTGATAATGTTAAATATTTGAAAATACTTTTTGTACCAACTATCAAAATGTCTTTAAAATATGTAAAAGAATATTAATTTTATAATAATTACCGTAGTGTCCAAACATGTCACGGCTATAATGGGTTCATGGTATGGTTTGTTCCCATGATTTGAGATCAAGTCCAATTAATAATTTTACAAAGAAAGCGCAGTATAGCGAAATAATTTTAGTACAAAAACAACACATTAATTGACAAATAATTCTCGTGGAAGTGAAGCATTTCTAATCACTGTACTTTCTACATGTAAAGTCAGCAGTTTTTAATGAGGAAAATTATCTTAACGACTGTGTCTGAGGAAAGACGGTCTCTCAGTTTTAGGATGAGAATTCCATCCCTTTATCACTCTTTTATTGAATTCAATTATTCGAATGTCGTTTTGTTATTAGATCGTCGGTGCTTTCGACTGATGGTCGAATAGTTGACTATACGTTGACATCCCCAATATATATATATATATATATATATATATATATAGATATAGATATAGATATAGATAGATATAGATATAGATATATACTGTACTATTACAGGGAGGTGGTGCAGAATTGGTAATTTGGATTAGTGTCGAAAATTTCATATGTTCATCAAGCAACCAATACTTAATGATGAAATTATCGTGAGTACATTATGGTCTGTTCAGTAAAACGATAAAAATCTGCAGAAATTCAAACACAGAAAACGGTACACCTGAGTGAAAAATATACACAACAAATTCAGTTTCCATTTTTTCACATTTATTACATGAAAGTTGAAAATAATTTTTTGCACCCCCTTTTTTGCAGACATATGCAGTTTTGAGTAATATTATTAAGGGTTAATCTATATAATTAATTATTTTTACTTTTATACAACAGTCCAACCAAAAATCGTACTTGTCAGCAAAACACAAACATATTCCATGAGTCAAACATGAGGCAACCGGAAGTCGTAATTTATAGATTGAAAGATCCCGGGGTGAGTGTGCTTTACTAATCAGCACAGTTATTAGTGCATATATATGAATACAAATTGTATACACTAGTATTGAAATGACTAACTCTAATTATTTTTTCCAGAACCATTTCTATACCCTTATTTTTAGTGCGTCTAAAAACATGGAACAGCTCGCTGGAAATCAGATGTCATCTCATTCTTATATGCTCAATTTTTCCTTACCACAGTATTCGGCAGAACACATACTGTTATACAAACAACCCATATACATTTCAAGGTAAGAAAGTTGATTGTACCGGGACTTATCTGAATGATTTTTGCTTACATTTATCCTTTTAACTTAATTTTGACGCTTCTTAGTATATACAGTATCTCGAACACTGATATCTCGAATACTATGGATATGTCGAAGTGATATGGAAGTCCCAACCCCTTATTCTTTAAGTATTTTACCCTGGATATCTCGAATCCTCGGATATCTAGACGTTTTTTCTCGGTCCCATTGAGTTCGAGATAACGAGGTTTGACTGTAATTCGAAAAATATGTTTGTTTTTAACTCTTCTTCAAACGTGCGGTAACATGACCTAGGAGGGGTAGGGAGTGGAGGAAGGTAACCACGAGAATGGAAAGAATTTAAAATGCTTTTAAGAAGGAATTGTTCAAAGATGGCATGAAATAGTATCGTCATAGAATCATGGAAAGCATGCGTTTCGTCATAAAAATAAATAAACACAAGACGTATGTGGAATTTGTGTGTAAATAAGGATACTCAAAGTTGAAAGACGTTTATATTTCAAATTTGTTTGCAATCAATGTGTATTTTTAGATAAGTAACTAAATTCTTTTAAACGGCCTTTATTTGGTTAGAATTGCATTTCAATATTCTGTTGAGGGGTGTTAAAAATAATTCTTTAATTCTTCATGTATGTGACGCAAACCTATTAATGATACAAAGTTTAGATCTTGATAACGTTCCCCAAGAGATTGAGTAATTCATCTATCCAAGTCAAATAATCAATGTAAAAGACTAATAACCCTCTGCTCTAAATTTTACAAAAAAAATTTTAAACTTCCCAACATTGATTTTCATTCAGAGCTATAGCATCAGCTTCAAATGGAAAACAGTAAGAAGTGTAAAGCGCTGCTTATCTTATCAGAAATGATTTTTATGTCAGACCATGATATGAAGAAATCTTACACAGAGAATAGAAAGAGTAAAAAATTCATTTTCACAACATAAAATTAAAAATATGAGGTGTACAAGAAAATATTATTTAGTGTCATACCTACTAAATTCATATTAGAAAACATAATGAACCGCTGCTTTCTAAATCAGAATATCACAATGTTATATGTGCTTGTAAGAAAAAAAAACATTTATTAGCAAGACTTATCTTTCTTATAAATATTTTTTCAATGGAAAAATGTAATACAAATAAAAATTCTACATTGATACTTGATATATTAAAGCATTTTTAAAATGTTACATAAAAAATTAAAACTTATACAATTTTAAGGGTTTTTTAACTGGATTGAAATGTGTTTTGTCAAATTAAACAATTTGAAAAGTATAGGCAAAAGTAGACTTTATTAACTATTGTAATAATCATATACATGGATAACTTTTTGGATCTCCACATGAAATCTGACAATTGTGAACAACAGTAAAGGCATCTCCAAAATTACATGAAAAAAAATGTAGATAAGTTTAGAAAACGTTTGAGAATCAGTGGATTGTAAACAATTTGTTAATTTTCAGCTGCTCTTTTAAAGGAAAATTCAAATATTATTTTGACTGCCATGAAAATACTTACACATGTGATCACAAAGGAAATCAGGTTTGCAAATCAAGTTACGTTGGACCAAATTGTGCACGTACCTGTCCGATACTAGAAAACGGATCTTGTGACAAAAACGGCGACGTACAATGTAACGCAAATTGGTACAGGCGAGACTGCAACAAGTCGTGTACTCCTCCCACCAACGGTTTCTGTGATCAATGTGGTAATGTGGTGTGTAAAACACATTACTATGGGAATGATTGTAATACTTACTGTGCTGATTCACATACCGGAAACTGTAATACAAACGGGACGATGGTCTGTCTCCCAAATTATTACGGAGAAAACTGCACACAATTTTGTCAAAATATAACTCATGGATACTGTACATCATATGGGAAACAAATTTGTCATGACAATTATTATGGAAACGACTGCACAACTTTCTGCCCAAACGTCACCACCGGTCACTGTTCAAATGATGGAAAACTACATTGCCAGGCAAGATACTATGGAACAAATTGTACTGCATTCTGCCCAAACGTCATGCATGGTACCTGCTCTGGGAATGGGACATTGAATTGTCATCCAAAATACTATGGCGACAATTGTACGATATTTTGTTCTGATGTCACATATGGTACTTGTTCACCACATGGAAAACTTATTTGCCATGAAAACTATTATGGAGAGAACTGCACCCAATTCTGCCCAAACGTCACCTATGGTACCTGCTCTGAAAATGGGACATTGAATTGTCACCCAAATTACTATGGCGACAATTGTACGATATTTTGTTCTGATGTCACATATGGTACTTGTTCACCACATGGAAAACTTATTTGCCTTGAAAACTATTATGGAGTGAACTGCACCCAATTCTGCCCAAACGTCACCTATGGTACCTGCTCTGAAAATGGGACATTGAATTGTCATCCAAATTACTATGGGGACAATTGTACGATATTTTGTTCTGATGTCACATGTGGTACTTGTTCACGACAGGGAAAACTTATTTGCCTTGAAAACTATTATGGAGAGAACTGCACCCAATTCTGCCCAAACGTCACCTATGGTACCTGCTCTGGGAATGGGACATTGAATTGTCATCCAAATTACTATGGCGACAATTGTACGATATTTTGTTCTGATGTCATATATGGTACTTGTTCACCACAGGGAAAACTTATTTGCCTTGAAAACTATTATGGAGAGAACTGCACCCAATTCTGTCCAAACGTCACCTATGGTACCTGCTCTGAAAATGGGACATTGAATTGTCATCCAAATTACTATGGCGACAATTGTACGATATTTTGTACTGATGTCACATGTGGTACTTGTTCACGACAGGGAAAACTTATTTGCCTTGAAAACTATTATGGAGAGAACTGCACCCAATTCTGCCCAAACGTCACCTATGGTACCTGCTCTGGGAATGGGACATTGAATTGTCATCCAAATTACTATGGCGACAATTGTACGATATTTTGTTCTGATGTCACATATGGTACTTGTTCACCACATGGAAAACTTATTTGCCATGAAAACTATTATGGAGAGAACTGCACCCAATTCTGCCCAAACGTCACCTATGGTACCTGCTCTGGGAATGGGACATTGAATTGTCATCCAAATTACTATGGCGACAATTGTACGATATTTTGTTCTGATGTCACATATGGTACTTGTTCACCACATGGAAAACTTATTTGCCATGAAAACTATTATGGAGAGAACTGCACCCAATTCTGCCCAAACGTCACCTATGGTACCTGCTCTGGGAATGGGACATTGAATTGTCATCCAAAATACTATGGCGACAATTGTACGATATTTTGTTCTGATGTCACATATGGTACTTGTTCACCACATGGAAAACTTATTTGCCTTGAAAACTATTATGGAGAGAACTGCACCCAATTCTGCCCAAACGTCACCTATGGTACCTGCTCTGAAAATGGGACATTGAATTGTCATCCAAATTACTATGGCGACAATTGTACGATATTTTGTTCTGATGTCACATATGGTACTTGTTCACCACATGGAAAACTTATTTGCCTTGAAAACTATTATGGAGTGAACTGCACCCAATTCTGCCCAAACGTCACCTATGGTACCTGCTCTGGGAATGGGACATTGAATTGTCATCCAACATACTATGGCGACAATTGTACGATATTTTGTTCTGATGTCACATATGGTACTTGTTCACCACATGGAAAACTTATTTGCCTTGAAAACTATTATGGAGTGAACTGCACCCAATTCTGCCCAAACGTCACCTATGGTACCTGCTCTGAAAATGGGACATTGAATTGTCATCCAAATCACTATGGCGACAATTGTACGATATTTTGTTCTGATGTCACATATGGTACTTGTTCACCACATGGAAAACTTATTTGCCATGAAAACTATTATGGAGTGAACTGCACCCAATTCTGCCCAAACGTCACCTATGGTACCTGCTCTGGGAATGGGACATTGAATTGTCATCCAAAATACTATGGCGACAATTGTACGATATTTTGTTCTGATGTCACATATGGTACTTGTTCACGACAGGGAAAACTTATTTGCCTTGAAAACTATTATGGAGAGAACTGCACCCAATTCTGCCAAAACGTCACCTATGGTACCTGCTCTGAGAATGGGACATTGAATTGTCATCCAAATTACTATGGCGACAATTGTACGATATTTTGTACTGATGTCATATATGGTACTTGTTCACCACATGGAAAACTTATTTGCCTTGAAAACTATTATGGAGAGAACTGCACCCAATTCTGCCCAAACGTCACCTATGGTACCTGCTCTGGGAATGGGACATTGAATTGTCATCCAAAATACTATGGCGACAATTGTACGATATTTTGTTCTGATGTCATATATGGTACTTGTTCACCACATGGAAAACTTATTTGCCTTGAAAACTATTATGGAGAGAACTGCACCCAATTCTGTCCAAACGTCACCTATGGTACCTGCTCTGGGAATGGGACATTGAATTGTCATCCAAAATACTATGGCGACAATTGTACGATATTTTGTTCTGATGTCACATATGGTACTTGTTCACCACATGGAAAACTTATTTGCCATGAAAACTATTATGGAGAGAACTGCACCCAATTCTGCCCAAACGTCACCTATGGTACCTGCTCTGGGAATGGGACATTGAATTGTCATCCAAAATACTATGGCGACAATTGTACGATATTTTGTTCTGATGTCACATATGGTACTTGTTCACCACATGGAAAACTTATTTGCCATGAAAACTATTATGGAGAGAACTGCACCCAATTCTGCCCAAACGTCACCTATGGTACCTGCTCTGAAAATGGGACATTGAATTGTCATCCAAATTACTATGGCGACAATTGTACGATATTTTGTTCTGATGTCACATATGGTACTTGTTCACCACATGGAAAACTTATTTGCCTTGAAAACTATTATGGAGTGAACTGCACCCAATTCTGCCCAAACGTCACCTATGGTACCTGCTCTGGGAATGGGACATTGAATTGTCATCCAACATACTATGGCGACAATTGTACGATATTTTGTTCTGATGTCACATATGGTACTTGTTCACCACATGGAAAACTTATTTGCCTTGAAAACTATTATGGAGTGAACTGCACCCAATTCTGCCCAAACGTCACCTATGGTACCTGCTCTGAAAATGGGACATTGAATTGTCATCCAAATTACTATGGCGACAATTGTACGATATTTTGTTCTGATGTCAAATATGGAACTTGTTCACCACATGGAAAACTTATTTGCCTTGAAAACTATTATGGAGTGAACTGCACCCAATTCTGCCCAAACGTCACCTATGGTACCTGCTCTGAAAATGGGACATTGAATTGTCATCCAAATCACTATGGCGACAATTGTACGATATTTTGTACTGATGTCATATATGGTACTTGTTCACCACATGGAAAACTTATTTGCCTTGAAAACTATTATGGAGAGAACTGCACCCAATTCTGTCCAAACGTCACCTATGGTACCTGCTCTGAAAATGGGACATTGAATTGTCATCCAAATTACTATGGCGACAATTGTACGATATTTTGTTCTGATGTCACATATGGTACTTGTTCACGACAGGGAAAACTTATTTGCCTTGAAAACTATTATGGAGAGAACTGCACCCAATTCTGCCCAAACGTCACGTATGGTACCTGCTCTGGGAATGGGACATTGAATTGTCACCCAAATTACTATGGCGACAATTGTACGATATTTTGTTCTGAAGTCACATATGGTACTTGTTCACCACATGGAAAACTTATTTGCCATGAAAACTATTATGGAGAGAACTGCACCCAATTCTGCCCAAACGTCACGTATGGTACCTGCTCTGAAAATGGGACATTGAATTGTCATCATAATTACTATGGCAACAATTGTACGATATTCTGTTCTAATATCACATATGGTACTTGTTCAACACATGGAAAACTTATTTGCCTTGAAAACTATTATGGAGAGAACTGCACCCAATTCTGCCCAAACGTCACCTATGGTACCTGCTCTGGGAATGGAACATTGAATTGTCATCCAAATTACTATGGCGACAATTGTACGATATTTTGTTCTGATGTCACATATGGTACTTGTTCACCACATGGAAAACTTATTTGCCATGAAAACTATTATGGAGAGAACTGCACCCAATTCTGCCCAAACGTCACGTATGGTACCTGCTCTGGGAATGGGACATTGAATTGTCATCCAAATTACTATGGCGACAATTGTACGATATCTTGTTCTGATGTCACATATGGTACTTGTTCACCACATGGAAAACTTATTTGCCTTGAAAACTATTATGGAGTGAACTGCACCCAATTCTGCCCAAACGTCACCTATGGTACCTGCTCTGGGAATGGGACATTGAATTGTCATCCAACATACTATGGCGACAATTGTACGATATTTTGTTCTGATGTCACATATGGTACTTGTTCACCACATGGAAAACTTATTTGCCTTGAAAACTATTATGGAGAGAACTGCACCCAATTCTGCCCAAACGTCACCTATGGTACCTGCTCTGGGAATGGGACATTGAATTGTCATCCAAATTACTATGGCGACAATTGTACGATATTTTGTTCTGATGTCACATATGGTACTTGTTCACCACATGGAAAACTTATTTGCCATGAAAACTATTATGGAGAGAACTGCACCCAATTCTGCCCAAACGTCACCTATGGTACCTGCTCTGGGAATGGGACATTGAATTGTCATCCAAATTACTATGGCGACAATTGTACGATATTTTGTTCTGATGTCACATATGGTACTTGTTCACCACATGGAAAACTTATTTGCCATGAAAACTATTATGGAGAGAACTGCACCCAATTCTGTCCAAACGTCACGTATGGTACCTGCTCTGGGAATGGGACATTGAATTGTCATCCAAATTACTATGGCGACAATTGTACGATATTTTGTTCTGAAGTCACATATGGTACTTGTTCACCACATGGAAAATTTATTTGCCATGAAAACTATTATGGAGAGAACTGCACCCAATTCTGTCCAAACGTCACCTATGGTACCTGCTCTGGGAATGGGACATTGAATTGTCATCCAAAATACTATGGCGACAATTGTACGATATTTTGTTCTGATGTCACATATGGTACTTGTTCACCACATGGAAAACTAATTTGCCTTGAAAATTATTATGGAGAGAACTGCACCCAATTCTGTCCAAATGTCACACATGGTACTTGTACTCAAGACGGACTACTGTATTGTCACAAGAATTACTATGGTCCCAACTGTACCACATTTTGTCGAAACACCAAAACTGGCATTTGTTTATTATCTGGTACTCTTCAGTGCTTTGAGAACTACTATGGTAAGACATGTGATGTGTTTTGTAGAAATTTTACACACGGATCTTGTTCTCGTGATGGAACCTTAATTTGTGAATCAAATTATTATGGAATTAACTGTGATAAGCATTGTCTTAAATCAGAGAAAGGGTCTTGTGATGAAAACGGGAATCTTTTATGTAAAAGGAACTATTTTGGGAGAAATTGTAAAAAGTTCTGTCAAGATGTACCTCATGGGAAATGTAATAATGCCGGAGTGTTGATCTGTGACAATCAGTGGTATGGTAGTAGTTGTTCTATGAATTGTGTTGAATTCAAACATTCGAGATGTGATGATCAGGGACAGTTGTTTTGTTTCGACCATTGGTATGGAGAAAACTGTACCATTTATTGCAAGGACGATGACGTTGAAAATTGCAATATGAAAGGTATGGGTTTATTTAATGACTAAGTGTTATAACCTAATGTTCATATGATAGATTTACAAATTTTATTTTATTATTATTTTAATAATAAAAAATAATAATGTTTTCTTTAAATTCTATTATATATGTATCATCAAAATTTGATTTAACCCGATACATTATAATATATATATATATATATATATATATATATATATATATATATATATATATATATATATATATATATATATATATATATATATATATATATATATATATATAGTATATAAAAGAAAAGAAAAAAAATACTATTTTATTATTATATAAAGCCAATTACATTTATTAACTTTTTAATAACTTTTTTACTACTTTAATAGGAGCTGGAGCAGTGGCAGTTGATGGGAAATTAAATAGCAACTCTGTGATACAACTTGAATTATCTGTCGAACTCTTTGTATCAGAAAATATTTGTGAGGAGAACAGAAATATTCATGTGGACATTGATGTGTTGAAACTGAGAAACAAGTACGAATATTAAATGAAACTTTTTTGCATTCAATTGAGTAAACTTTTAAAAAGAGGTTGTAGAATAAAAAATCTTTTTCCTGACAAAGTTCTTTCTATTTGACATGCAAACGACAACCCAAATTAGCTATGCTTTGGCCTTGTTCATTGCATTATGCCTAAGTCAAATATTTAAAGGTTTAGATTAGATATAATGGGTTAATAAAAGCGGTATTAGAAGAATTAACACTGGTAGTTATATTTCGACAAAAACACTATAAATTATATTTTTAAACTGTAACCAGGTCGAAAACATCAACTGTTGCGCTGAGCATCTCCTGTGATGAAGAAATAATAAACAGCGATACATTCCTTCAAACTTACTTGGCAATGGCACCAGAGAAACTCCGAAAGTACAACTTTCCTTTTCGATTGATCAAGCCCATAAAGAAGGACCATCATGCGGTAAACAAATGTTATATCATTTTTCTTTTTAAAAGATTTCCCAGTTTTTTCCTCACTTTTTGTGCGTTTTTTTTATTCCTTCCTCTTTTTTTCTTTATTTCTCGTTAAAGTGATTATTCTTACATATAAGTTGATTTCATAAAATAACTTTTTTTCAAGGACTGGCTATCATTAAATTGGCGACTGTTGACAGTTTTGCTCGGGACGACTGGTCTTATTTTGTTTCTGGTATTCTTCATGCAGAAATGTAGAAGGTATGTATTTTTGCCAGAAGAAAATACACTTCTGCGTCCCAGTAGAGTAGTTAAGCTATTAACTGAACATCTTTACTTTTTTAGACAACAACGTCGGAGGATTGAGAGACATATATTCACGTTGGAACTCGAAACAACTGAAATATTTGAGTAAATGTACTGAAACGTGTGACGCTCTTAGACATTGAAAAGAAAAGGTTTCACCTTTTTATGTCAAGGTCAATTCTCTGGTCTTGCTGCCTAAGCTAAGCTAATATATAAAATACATATACTATAGGTACCCGAATATTGCAGTTCTCTTAACAAAGGTTTGGAAGGATGTCCAGTGGACAAATTGATATCAACTAGAGTTCAAGAAAACTCACTTTTAACAAATATTTACTAAGCGCTGCAGAAATGTCATAACAGAAGAAATAAAGAAAGCAAAAAAAAAAGGAAAATACGAATTACTTGTAAGAACAAAATCAATACATTTTAGTTACCATAAATGCTAAATATATACATATATGTGCAAATGTTATATTATTTTAAGAGTATGGAATTTATCAATGCATGTTGATGAAATGTCTTTCAATTGTTTCTTGTATAATTTTTAATTACTCTCATTCCCAATTTTTTTATTGAAAATACAGTTGGTTGATTTGTTAACCTAAGAATCTCATGAATATATTTTTTTAACTTATGAGTCTTTGTCATTCATTTTATCATTGTATCTCATTTATTTTAGCACACACATTTGTTATATATATTTCATACATATTTCATTCAGTATGTACTATTATACACTTATAATAAAATTATGTATTGTTCTGCTTCACATTTGTTTAAAATTGTCTATTCTTCATGAAATATATAATAGAAAAAGCAGTCCCGTAGAACTCGGGAGGGGCAGGAGGGCCCGCTCCCCCCCCCCACTTTTTTCTGAGTATGGTATTTTGCTATAGTAAATTTTTCTTTAGATGATGGTTGCCCCCTCCACTTTGTGATGTAAATATCATGTTGTAAATTTTGAATTTACTAGGGGGGAGGTAAATGCAAAATATACAATTTTGCATTTACCCCCCCCCCCCCAGTAAATTCAAAATTTACAAAGAGGACTGGCAACTTCCAGGATTTGGACAGTAAATTAACTGCTTTTCTTTCTTCTTTTTTTTTTGTCAGATTTTTGGGGGAAGTTGCCCCCCCCCCACACATTTTAAAGCGTTGCTAGGGGCCTGAAAAGTACTTTCTAATATTTTTAATCTTTTAAGAATCAAATATATTTTGGGGTTTTATGAATCAAACATAATATTTATGATGATATGTGTTCATTATTACTTGACTGTGCTTCTTTAATTAAAATTCAAACCATTCAATTTTTTTTAAATTATACGTTATAAATTTAATGCTTCATCATTCGATTTCTGTCCTTTTAATATTAAAAGAAATTAAAACATTGCATCAATAAACTCGGCAGTGTTTTCAACAAGTCCCTCAAGTACGAAAGATGTTCAGGTATGCTTATCTGTATATATGGCACCTGATCCCACCTCTGATGTTTTGGAGGTCCGTGTTTGCTCTGCTCCAAAATTTGTATTGTTTAATGGACTTTTGAGCTTGAATACTGTTCGTTATCTCCATATATTTCATTATCAAAACTGTCCGGTTTTCTAATGATTGCAAGTATGCCCTGCTATACATGTAGCATCATTGCTAACGCTCTCGACAACGCGTCTTCTTCATTGGAATTCGCATGCTCGAATTAATGCTAGGGCATTCTGGAAAACAAATTACGTTAGTTTCATAAATTATCTGAATATACATACAATTTTCCTAATTTCGTGTTTTGTCGTCTAAGCAGTACAAAAATAGAAAACTAAGGCCACATATTACACCAAGTCTGCAGCTTCTTAGTCATTTTGTTTTCTAAAATGTATGCCTAACTTTTCTTATAACAACTGTCATTTATTAATTTTCAATCTAAAGTTGAAAATGATTACATATACATAAGTTTAATCCTTTCCAGTCCGGTGGTTTTTGAGAGAATTTTTCTTATATATTTCAATTAAAACTGAACCTTTTTTGTGGCCCTACCCTGCCCTGGGGTCCATGATTTAAACAATTAACAATCTACACTATGTCTGGAAACTTCCACATAAGTTTCACCTTTTCTGGTCCAGTGATTTCTTGAGAAGAAGATTTTTAAAGACCCCACCCTATTTTTGGCTTTTCTTGATCATCTCCCCTTGGAAGCGGGCTTGGCTCTTCTTTTGAACAATTTAGAATCCCCTTTACCCAAGGATGCTTTGTGCCTCTTTGGTTAAATTTGGTCCAGTGGTTCTTAAGAAGAAGTCGAAAATGTGAAGTTTTCAGACAGACAGGAACGGACAACGGATGATCAGAAAAGCTCACGAGCTTCCAGCTCAGGTGAGCTAAGAAAAGGGTGGACAAACTTTGAATGAAATATGCAAGCTGAATTTACAGCAAATATTAACTATCTCAAAAAAAACTGGGCAGGTCTACTGTCTACCTATGAATCAATAGACAGTTCAGCAAAATAAACCAGTGGTTCAGAAACCTACTTTCGGGTATTATAATGACTACAGCGCTAACTCAACAATTAAAAAAAATAAGCTTGTTAAAACATAAGAGTAGTCACTGCATACTAGCATTAAAGTTCAAGCAAAGAAAAAACATCATCAACATATAGTAAAACTGCGATAATTAATATTCATCAAAAAAGTTAGAATCAATAGAAATTCAAGTTAAATGAATAATTAAATAAATTATTAAAAACTAGAAATATGTCTATAGGACATGAATGCCCCGCCGAGGGTATCAGTAATGCAACATGAAAATTTGTATTAGTGTATGGAGTTTGATGAGAATATCTTGAATAGTTTCTTTAAAATTAAAATTGTAAAAAGAAAAAAATTGGATATAGATGATAAATTCTTACCAAATTATGTATAAATGCGTAAGCTTACGTAAAAATATCTTAAACGGTTTCTTTAAAACTAAACAAAATGCAAATTTAAGAAAAGTGAGCTCTGGGTCACAGGAAAAGTCAAGGTCAGCAGTTTTTAATGCAGTTGAATAGCTCTCACTAATACGTATCAACATATTAAGTTTGAGAAAAATATCTTGAATGGTCTATTTAAAACTGAGCTAAACACTAATTTAAGAAAAGTGAGTTCAATGTCAAAAGAAACCTCAAAATCAAAAAATGTTGATGCAGGTGAAAAGCTTACATCAGTATGTATTAGCATATGAAGTTTGATAAAATATCATGAATAGTTTCTTTAAAACTGAGCTAAACATTAATTTAAGAAAAGTGAGGTCAAGCTCAAAGGAAAGGTCAAGGTCAAAAAATGTTGATGCAGTTAAATAGCTCTCATCAATATGTATCAGCATATGAAGTTTGATAAAAATATCTTGAACAGTTTCTTGGAAACTGAGCTTTGAACTGAGCTAAATGTGAAGGAAGAACAGACGGAAGGACGGAAGACAAACTGTATATGCATGGCGGGGCATAATAAATATTTATTCATATTTATTCATATGAGTTTATTTCAGAACACTGAGTCGGTGTACCGATTTCGATTTATTTTCAGACAACTATAAAGGAACAATCGGGAAAAAAATCATATGGTCTTTTCTGTCAAGTCAGTCGTGAACATCATCCGGCCTCTTCCGTCAAGTCGAGAAAAAACGAGGGTTTTTCAAAGGCCAATTGATTTTGCGATTGCTAATAGAATGCATTTAAATTTTAGTTTGCATATAGATTTTATAAGTAAAGTTTTATGACATCCTAAACATGTATTATATATGCTCAGCCTACCTCTCCAAATTTGTACTCTCGAAAACCAAGGTCAAGATCCAGTTGTCAAAAGCCTGGGTAATGGCATGGTATCTACAGAATTACCCCTCAGAGGTTTGAAAAGTAGATAAAGGGTCAGGTTCATGGGTCACGAGTTCATGAGCAAAAAATCGTGCCCTACCTCTAATAGTTCTCAAGATATGACAATGTAATATTTATTGGTATATATTCACAAATAAAACAGAAGGTCCAGCTAGAATTGGTTTCCGAAGTGCAGTCTGCAATTGATTGGACTATTCGAACAGTTAAAAAATATAATCTCAAAGTGTGCTAAAGAAAACTAAGTTTTGCGTAGAATCGTAAACAAAGAAAGTTATCACAAAACATCCCTTCTTGATCTCTCCTTAATCAATTAAGGGCTTCTGATACTCAGTTGACTAAATTGGCAAAATGTATATAAGATGACGTAAGAAGAGAGCACCTCAATACATACTGTAGCGACCGGATCAGTGCCAATTACTAGTATACTGGAACTGGTACATGCCTCCAAAAAGAATAGTCTGCTCTGGTATTAGATCTCCTTACAGGTTCACTGTCACATAATTATCTCATGGTCATTATAATATACAGAGAAGAAGGAGGAGAAGTGGGGCTTCTTTCATCGATCGCAACATCGATCTTGAGCTTCTCAACTAGTGTAAAAACAACCATCAATGGACGTGCTTTTGGTTGACCCCCTCCCCCTTTTCAACCGATTACCTGAAATAAAGCTAGTTGACCCGAATTTTTGCCAGACTTTTTCGAAGACGCAACCATTTTGTATAAATTACTCACATTCCAGTGTTCTCCCATCTCACCGTAAAGGCCAAAGAAATTGCGAATGCATTTTGTTCTCATCTTCTATCCGTCATTTGCTCATGATTAAACTTAAACATCAACATTTTATTTACCTACATTGCATTGGAAGATTGTAATTTGTAGCGATGAGTGACGTAAGCTGACTATGGAAATAAATGCTTACACGAAAGGAAGAAAAGGTGCTTGAAATCTGGCATTTTTAAATGGTCGACAACTGCCGAATCCTTGAGCTTACTAGTATCTGATATCTTACAAAAATAACATAAAAATATACATGTATATATAATATCTGTGTGCACTAATCGAGTAATTTATAAGAAGCATCATAAAATGCAAATACAAGTACTTAGTATATAAATAAATTAAAAGAATAGATATTTAATGCTAAAGCAAATAGAGCATAATTACTGATCAAATGACGTCTGGGATCGAATCGCCAAATGTTCGAAATTGGCATATCTATGCTTAATTTCCGAGTTTATTACATGAGCACTAGTGTGATAAATGTAAACTTCAGATTAGGGGTATAACGAACTTATAATTCCATTTACTCATTTTATCAAGAGCTCTCCTTTTTTATGCAAACGCCAAAAAACGCCGATTTCCAAAATGCAACCTCGTCTTCAAAAATGTTGTGCAATTACATGTAATAGATACATATATTTATTAGTCTTTTGTTACGCTTTGTTCAATTCAATCGATATACATAAAGCTCAGAATGCTGGAACACTGATATAAAGTGCGTTGTCATGGTAACATTTTCTACCTGAGTTTTTCAGGTAACCATTTCTAGGTGATAAGCGAGACATTCCGTAACGTTATGTTTTTCAAAGGATATTTCTTCATTCTGAGAAATGAGTGGATTGATAAATAATTATTTATGATACCTTCTGGGAATGACAATGTTTACTTCCGAACATCTTTAGAATTAAAACAATAACAACATGGTAGCCATATTTATCTGGTTTGGATTCTATTTACCTGCATCAATACAAGGTTAGTCGGTCATGTTTTTTTATTATTATTATTTTCAGGATATTGCATGTTTCGATGTTCACATACATGAAATGACATGATTGTTTTATTTATTTATCAATTGATGAAATTAGCAACAATTAAAAAAAATAACATAAAGACAAAAAAGTTCATATCTATAAAATGAATCACAGAATTACAGCAAGGGATTGATGTTTGAGAAGACGGGCTAGTGTAGGGAGGGAGGGTAAAGTACTAGTGCATGTAGGGGATATGGGAGGGAAGAGAGAGAAATGACTGGATAATAAAGCAAGGGGAGAATAGTACGCATGTCAACCCCAAAAAGATTGGTGTCAGCTTTGCCTCTTCAAAGCACACACATGTACCTTTCTAAGTTTAAATCGATCAACTGTATGGTTAATGTTAATATATCAAAACATATTTTTTATCAGTTACTACTAATGAAAAATATATAAAATATAATGAATTTCAGATAAAACTGAGTATTGTGTGCTTGACTGTATTAATTATGTCAGTTTAATCTATTTTTAGGATCCCCGGCTTGTCCAAATGAAGGCCTTCCTGGTAATTATTCTAATATCCAACACAAATAAGTTTTTTCTCATGATGTTTTTTATGCAAAATGCAGTGAAATGTTGAACAGATTCACGACGAGACTTTATGTTGGCATCTTTCAGAAAATCATTAAGAAAGATGAAAATTTTTAATGTCGTAAAATCACTTAATTTTCTGGGTGGAGAATTTTTGTGGTTTGAGGGGGAAAAATATAGGTTTTAGGGGATTTTATGTCGTGATTAGAGGAGTCTTGGTATTGTCTTGATTTGAAAAATTAATATTTCTTGGTGGAAGAGAATTCGAAGGTCTCTTCATATAACGGAAACAATTAAACTCAAACGAAAATTGATGTTACAGTCATTATCATAAAAAGTTCAAAACCCGTATTATAATTATCAGATTTTCCTTGTTTTTTTTTTTTTCTTTCCAGTAATTAACATGTGCAAGGGAGGCTCTTTGGTAAAATCAAATTTACTGATGGACTTTTCCTTCGCTCAGCACTCGTCCGTCACAACATGTCGATGCGAGATTCTCGTCATAAAAGGGAGGCAATTCCATTTCAGCCAAGTTACCGCCCCTGGTTACGTGGGATGTGGCTCGGAGATCCACGTTCAGAAGAATGATAAACCACATTCAGGGGACATAATCCCATGCTATGGGGGAACAACTGTTCCTGGACTTAAGGAGGGCAATACCCTGCAGATTACGATAATGAAACATAATTCACCGTTTGACGTTCATTACTGTTACAGGCTGGATATAAGTAACTAATTATTTTTTTTAATTCTGATCTAAAGCTTTTAAAATGAGTTTGGTATTTATATATATATATATATATATATATATATATATATATATATATATATTTTTTTTTTTTTTTTTTTTTTTTTTTTTTTTTTTTGGGGGGGGGGGGGGGGTCTATTGTTCAATTATATAAAACTTAGAGACAAAAAAAAAAGCTGTCCTGATATTTATAGATATATTTTCGTAAAATATAAAATTCACAAGGCTAGAAAATTTGTAATTTTTTAATTATTTCTATTGTTTATAAACGATGAAAATATCTTATTTATCATTAAGTTAATTTCCCTCACATGATAGTTATAAATTCCAGCATATATATCTCAATTTCAATCGATTCTTGTGAATTCTCCCTGCAGACCTTTTACATTTATAACCCAGTGCCCGTTAACTCTTGTCATTAGATGATGCTTTGTGTGTGAAAGAGAAAAAAATCAATTTCAAACCTGTCCATATATATACATGTAAAGTGGTACCTTCCTTTTACATGGAAATGGTTTTTAGTTGCATGATATCTTCCATGAGACATCAGAATAGAATCTAAGATATTGAGGAAATTTTTCTTATCATTTATAAATAATCTTATAATAATGTTTAATAAGTCAGCAGAAATCAAGCCATTTTTCTATTTCTATTTAAGAATTAATAAATAAAACACATGAAAAATTAATAAAACACGTATTTAACAATTGAAACATATATCCATTGGCTATTGCTTACTTTTCAGTGATTGGCAAACTTCAATTTTCCATAGCTATGAATCTGCTCATTACATATAAAATAAATGTACACAGACATCTAATTAACAACCGATTCTTTGTTTTAAGCTGGTGCTACCGATGCTGCAATGTCTGTTACTTGTTATAATGAAATAATCCAACTAACAACAACTGAGCAAATCTCGACAACAGCAAGTACGGAAATCGTCACACAAACTAATGACGTCACCACTATCTTTTGGAATACAAGCCAATCAGAGACGTCTTTGAAAAACAAGAACCTGAATTTGGCACCATATGTAAACAATCAAGAATGCAACAAGTCAACCCTTTATACAGGTGTGTTATTAATCACGTTACTATTCTCAGATCAGAATGCAATAGCTAATAATATACTATATCCACTAGCAAGAGGTCCATGGGCCACAAGTCTCATCTGTGTCACCTTGGTCCTGCTTTTTTCCCTCTTTGTTCACATGAAAAATATGATGCTTGCTACATTTCTATGTCTAATCAAGGTCGTACTGTTTTTGAAATGAAGATTTCTTCGAATACATGTATATTCCCATGTAAAACTTTGATCCTCTATTGAGGCTCCAGCCAACAACGGGAGGGGGGGGGGTGTCATTTGAACAATCTTTAGTCTGCACTACCTGAGAATGTTTGAATATTAATATCATTGATCATGACCTTATTGTTCTTGGGAAGACTGTTTTAAAGGTTTTCAGTGACCCCCCACCCCCACCCCCCAAAAAATATTACTTCATAATAATATCTTCAAGAAAAGCATGACCTTCATTTGCCCTTCACTTGAGGATGCTTTGTGGCAGGTTTGATTGAATTTTATACTCATTGATTCTGAAGAGGAAGTTGAAAATGTAAGAAGTTTACAGACAACACACAATAGAATGACAAACTGACAGACAGACGCTGGACATTCTTTTATCAGAAAGCTTACTTGAGCCTTTGGCTCAGGTGAGCCATTAAGAAACCAAACCTAGATGTCTGATCTTTTTAAAATCATTGAAGTATCGCATGATGATCTTTTTTTCAGTGATTGCACTCTTGCTGGTGCTTCTAACGGCAGTTGCGTGCTATGCTGCCATAATCACCTTCAAGTTTTTTACCAGGTTTGTGTTTAATTCTATTGCATATCCATCTTTCACAACAATTCAAACTTTGACAGAAAAACATTTTCAATCACTTTATTTTTTAAAACTTTATATTTTAGAGATTATAAAAAATCAGAAAAGTTACAGCAAAATAATGATATCTATGAAGAAATTCCCGCCAGAAACTATATAAGTTCAACACCAGTTTATGAAACGGAAGTGCAAAAGCGTCGCTATAGCAACTGTCAAAATGGTGACCAGAACACCTTACGATCAAACGTTCCAGGGCATTGGAATTGGACCTATGGCGAACACAGAGAAACGGACACACGTTATGAAAAACCCGGCCCCGCCCATACATACGAATATGAAGTGGCCAAATTCTAAATATTTTTAGTCCTTTATTATAAAATGAAGGTTTTATTGGTGCTATCTGTTGTCTTAACTTGGAACATAATATTCATACGTTTTAATTTCTGACGTGAACAATTTGTCAAATGTGTTTTGTTTTGTGTCACTTGATTGTATTTGCTTGTTTTCTTGTTCTTAATGTAACATTCTTTAAATTGATATGTATTATTTTACATGTATATGTGAAAATGGAAGTGGATGAATTAAAAAAAAATGACCAAACGCATATTTATCAACCCACACTAAAAATACAGGCAATGAAAATAGATTTCTATGTCTCAGCATATGTCTTTAGATAGTGTCTAAATACCTGCTAAATATCTCGTTGATATCTCAATTAACAAAAAAGTTATGCCCAAAAATTGTCAGGAGTGCAACACCTTTTTGTGACATTTTGAAATTTCAATATTTTTTGGAGATCTGTGAAATAAAAAATAATGCTTCATGTTGAAAATAAAGACTTTCCTGATAATATTCAAAGTATTGAGATTTAAATGTGGACTGTCATAACTTTTGTTTAATCAGGTTGTGGTCATGGCTGATGTTTAAAAAAATGTTATACCATGTCAGGAGTGCAACAGAAAAAATGTAGTGTTGCCAAAAAAACATCAATTGTAAAATTCTGAAAGAAAATTAAGACAAAAAAGAATTTTGGAAGTGTAAAATAATAACTGATATACATTTTAAAACTTAAAAATGTTATATAAATCACAAGCAGCATTAATGAGAGTCAAGTATATGTGCATACCCAAGAATGTCAGGAGTGCAACATTTGATGTTTTGCTCCCAAGCATGAAAAAACTATTATCATTATATGATTTTCTGATTTTTATTTTGGAAAATAAAGACACAAAGAACATTTTTACCAAATAGATTTATCAATTACAGGATCTGTCTGTGCTTCAGATCCATATTTCTATGGTCAGGAGTGCAACACATTTTTTTAAAGATTCAAGTTGTGTGACGAAAAGACTTCTATTCATGCTTAGAAGTATTCATTAATTAATAATAATCTTTTTGTATAATTTAATGCTAAATTATTGACAGTTTTATTATTAAAATCCTTCCTTTTTCAAATTTATCAATTCAGATGTGTTTTTATCTTTTTTTGTGATTTTTTTAATGAACGTTTAAAATAAACACACTAAAACATTGTCATAAAATTCGAGTAATTCCTCCTCAACTTCACTGAAACAACAGGACAAGTTCTTATGTAATTTTCACTTCACAATTCTACTTTAAAGGCCCCAATGCTTTTGGTCAGGAGTGCAACAAATATGTTAGAATTATAAATCATCCAATAAGAATAAAAATAAAGAAAAAATGATGAGTAGAATTTTTCTGGTGGGTTACTGTGTTTGTCTTCTAAAGGAAAATATGCTTTAAAATATATTTTATCTTCTAAATATACATTTAAGCTAGTTTTTTGGCATAAAATAGGGTATCATCCCAGATAAAATGCGAATTTTAAATACTTTCATCTGTTTTAATTATGAAGTATTGGACTATAAGTATTGCACAATTTCATTACCACTTGATGTTGCCAACACTTTATGAATTTTTGTGTTCTATGGTTTTAATTTTAAAGTTTACTGCAGTCAGGAGGGCAACAAAACTGCTTCATAATTACCAGTGCTTTTTAACTATCTTTACTAAAAATTAAGTTGAAAAAAAATGCTTGATACTATTTGATGTTCAAAAGACTATGTCTATCAACAAATTACAGAAATTTTACAGTCAATTCAGGGAATATATTTTAAATACAATTTACATATATTACACTTTGCAAATAATCATGTTTTAAGGTCTTCAAAATATGAAAAACCTGCTGTAAACGATGAAAAATATCAACACGACAAATTTATTTACAAAGTAAGAATGGGTTATTGTGTGTTAAAATTTTTAAAACAATGTTAAATAAAATACATATCAGATGTCAGGAGTGCAACACAATAATGTAACATAGGGTCACTTCAAAATCTAGTATTTTTCATAAGAGAACTCCTATATAACAATTCTTTTTTGGCTTAGATTTAAAGAATTGACTTGAACGGACAAAAAAGTGAAGTTTGAGGAATTTTATTGCTTCATATTTTTTTCATATTAAAACTTTTCAAACTAGAATTGAAAAAATGATGTAAAATAACAATCAAAAAGCCAATTTTTTGTCACATGTACAAGAGAAGATACTCATTCAAGGTCTAGATTTAATCATTTATACCCCTTTAACCATTTTGAAGCATAAAAAACTATAATTTCTTGTGATTATGTATTTTAGAAAGTCTTTTAAGGTGTAATGATATTTTCTTTTTTCAAAAGAAATTTTACTAATAAAAATTCTGAAACTTTTTAATCCAATTGTCTATTCTATTGCCACTTCAGGATTTTAAACTAGAATGCATTTGCAATATGATGATGTAAGTGAAAAATATGTTATGAGTAGTTGAATTTTGCCAAAAAAATTCAGTTTGGTGGTCATTTTTTTTTTAATTCACCCATGTAATGAAATACATTGCAAGGGCACAAAAAATTGCCCGTAAGGAAACCGTCATCAAAAATAAGCTTAATACCATAAATCACGATGTAACAACGGAGAAGTTTTGAAGATTCTACAGGGTAACCAACAGATGAAAAGTATGGTTCTGACGAAAGCATGTTGAACAGTATCCATTGATATGAACAGTCACTACAGGACGTAGCTGAACATACTGTAAATATACTGTATACAGGGTTATTTTCGCCGTTTCACACTTGCAAACTGTTCAGCCTTTTTTTTAATTTGCCCAGATAAAGTTGTATTAAAGAAATAATGCTGTCTTCTTTGAATTCGACCCATTTTAAATACGCCCACTTGCAACGAGGGTGAACGGGGTAAAAATAAAAAGGGGCGAAATTTTCTGTATATGGTACTTATTTTAGCGGTAATAATATTCAAGCACCTTTAGCACTAACTCCTGTCCACTAATTCAAGCACGCGTTTATATTATAAATATAAGGTAAACTAATTCATGATTATGCTAATCAGTTGTTGAGGGAAATTGCGCTAAATTTTGAGTGCGGTAATACCTATATGTAAATTTACAGTATATACTAGTAACAATGTTAGGATGGGATTGCAACATCAAAAATATTTCATTACATCAAATATTAGAGAAAATAATAATGAACAACTACTTTATCCAGAAAATTGTATATATGAACTTTTAAATACCGGTTACAATACAGCATATTATTTCACTCAAGTGATTATCGAACTAAAAAAATAAATATTCAGCATTTCTGTACTAGAATTACAGTGCAACACCGTAAGAAGCTAAGTAATCACTAAGTTAGAAGCTACGTACAAAGCCAACTTCCGATGAAATGTCTTACTAGTTGCTGCAATGATGAAGACAGGTTTGTCCTGCTAGATTGAATATAGCCTATTCATAACGGAAATAAACCTGCATGGAGTTTGGGACTAGCACCTGATAAGAGTTCCCTCACAAAATTACTTGCATACTAGCCTGTATCTTTTGGCATCTTTCAAAATGATAAATATGCTAAAGCATAAACTTTTCAGAACAATACATGCTGACGTTGCTATGTAAAAGCAAGTTCTGTGGATGGACAGGACTAATCAACCAACCAAAATGATATACTGGGTCCAAATAAATTCAGAATGAGGTCATCCAGACCTATTTCTGGATTGCAACACACTTATGTAAACTGACAAACATAGTCTGAACACATAAACATAATCTGAACACAATTAGAAACTGTATAGAACAAGGAATTCTAAAATTAAGACACACCTTTTCTCTAGGATGCACCATGCATGATTTTTGAACTGTAAATGCTTGGGCTTATGCAAAGCTACAGTAAATTCATTATCTTGAACTCAACAGGACCAAGATAAAACTTTGAGATTTCCTAGGATTGGCAATAAGGCTAAAAAACATAAAGAAAAAGTCAATTCTCTATTGTTCTAAAATTAGGTCCATGTGACCATGCCAGGATTACAACACACCTTCTCTCCAAGATGAATGAAAAACAAAGAACTAGAAATATGTCCATAGGACATGAATGCCCCGCCCAGGGCTCATTAGTAATGCAGCATGAAAATTTGTACTAGTGTTTGAAGTAAGATGAAAATATCTTGAATAGTTTCTTAAAAACTGAGTTCTTAACAAAACAAGAGGCCCAAGGGCCTTAACGGTCACCTGAATATAATACAACAATTTAGAGGATCCATAGAGTATAAAATGAACTGAAAGGTGAAGCTTTGTTGCCCAAAAGCAAGAAAAATAGAGTGATCAGGATCAAAAAAATAATTAGTCTAGCATTCATTCACAGTTCATAAATTAGGTTCTAATCTGTTCCTCATTTAACAATTTCACCATACAGTAAATTAACAAAATATCACCGCTTCTGTACCATCTTAATTCCTTGTTGAAATCTCTTACATTGGCCTCTCTTGATCTTTGATGAACATTAATAAGACAAGTTATTTTTGTCTCATTTTTATTTATCTATTACTTACACGTCTACCTGATCATTAAAACTACGAAAGTACTTTTTGTATTATACAATAAAAATTCTTGCATAATTCTTTTATTCTATTAACCTTTCAAGTACATTATTTACAGTGATTAATTATCAAAAGTAAATGGCAAAGGGGAATAACTCCTCTCAGTAGATTACAAATTAATAGTGCCCTAGCTAGGACCAGAACACTTGACTAAATGGTCCAGATGTTCAAATATCTGGTAAAAATGCCCTTCCTTATTAAAACTTTTACTCTTTTTGCCTCTGATATGCCCAGGTGCAGAGAAGATTTTTAAAGAAATAATGCATTTTTACTACAGATTCACTATATTATCAATAGAACCCCCCCCCCCCTCCATCGAGAAACATCAGAGCCTCTCACCCTGGGACCAGAAGTTTGCACATCATAAGTAATCACTTTGTTTATCTGCTTAACACTGAGAAGCAAACAGGAATATTTAGTAGAAAAAATGCATTTTCACTATA